TTAACTACTTTTAAATTTGATTCCTTGGGACATGATTGATATCGTGCGCACATGCAAACACTAAACATAATATCGAGTCTAGAGGCGGTAAGATAAAGAAGAGAGCCAATCATACCTCAATATCTCTTTACCTCTACGTCCTTACCACTTTCATCCTTATTCATGCTGTGTTTATGCCCACTATTTCACTTCTATGGTTGTATCATGTTTGAATCATATGAAAAAAAGTGATCAAGGTACATTACATGAATCTGAAGCATGCTCTTTGAAAAAGGATCAATGTACTATGTGGCTTAATCCTGAATCCTGATGCTTTTTTTGTATAAGTGCTTAAACTTAATTTTTTTAATTAAGGCTGTAGCTTCTAATTTCTATTACCTTTGCTGTTATTTTAAAGGTAAGTGAACACTTTGAAGTTTTATGTCCGAAGTTGCCAACATACAAAATTGTATATCTGTAGTGCTGGATGTGGAGAAAACTCTGTAATTTGTTTTGTTGGCGAAATAGTTAGTACCTTGTAATCTATTTTGTATGGACCAAAGCTTGGAGAATATAGTATTCTGTTTCTGGAGTTGACATTTTTTGCTTGGATGGAAGGACCATTATTTCATGCAATACATTATGTGTGAGGAAAATTATCAATTGAGTTACACCTAAACATGCTATGATTTTCATTGGTATAGTTGTTACTGCTGTTCTTTAAATTATTTTATCATGCTGAATTAGATTTTTAGTTGTTTCTCTAGATAGATTTTTAAAATCCAATGTTAATTGACTTTTTTTTAAATATTTGTTTAATTATGTTGGATGGAGAAATTTTTCTGTTAGTAGACATTGTGGTTTGATTTTTAAATAAATGAAAAAAAGTCAATTAACATTGGATTTTAAAAATCTATCTAGAGAAACAACTAAAAATCTAATTCAGCATGATAAAATAATTTAAAAATCAATTGATAATTTTCCTTTGTTGTTAGTAAATGAACAAAACTAGACAACATGCCCAGCATCGAACAAGGACTCATGATTTCCTTGTCTGAATGAATTGATCTCATTTCTTATATTTGCATTCTTGACAGAAGGAAAATACTTGGACAAATTTTTTTTAGCCAAAGTGTTCCAAGTATCAATGGAATTGGGCTCTAAGGAATTTAACCAACTCTTGGCTCCATTCCTTAGAGAATATGGAAAGAGTCTCAACTTGAATGCATTATCCGTTTTGCATGAAAGTTTGAAATTGCTGGCCACCTCCAGAAGTTGTCTCAAGTGAAGATGAGGGTTTTTAGTATCAGATCTAGAATACTGCCCAATAGCTTGCAGCATCTGAAACATCATATGCTTGAACTCAAATTAAGCAGCAATTATCTCAGGCCTAATGATTCTAGTATTCTGGTATTGTGTGCCTTATCATTAGCTATGCCAATGATTTCGGGTTCAAAGACTGCATAGTCTCTGATGTTGTGTGCCTTATCACTAGTTATGCCAATGATGTCAGGTTCAACCATGCTTGTGTCTTCTGGTACCCACTTTTGGAATTCTTGAGCTTAAGGAATAATATTTCCTCCGTCTGGCAGTTGCATAGCACGTATCAATCTCTTTTGTATTTAGAATGTTCTTTTAGGATCAGGATCTTCTCTGTATTATGGGGTTAACAACCTGTGCATGCCAGAAGCTCTACACATGTCGTGACACCAGAGTATAGGGAACGGAAAAAAGCTCAAATGCTATTTTCAAACAAAAATAATTGTTACAGTAGTCCAAAATACTTCTTGGCACTCTCCAACAATGGCGCCAAAAACTTGTTGCAATTAAATAATCAAAGAGTGTCACATGCAAGTATACATGTATGCTTTAACTGTAGCAAATGATAATAGTAAGGATATCATACCCACTAGGCGTGGAAAAGGTTTAGATTGAACTTTTGTAAGTATTCTTGTTTAAAACTAATATGAGCAAGGTAACAAAATAGTATTTGAAAAACATAAGTTCAGATTGTCCACAACACTAGACTAAATGCAATAAAGTGAAGGTTTGATTAAATCAAGAGAGTGAATGTTGAGCTATGATCTATTAATATGCATAGTAGCCAAAATGTGTGTATGATGAGATGTGACGTGCCTCAAAAGGTCAGAACATGATCTTTATGTGTATCTCTACAACATCAAAATATGCATTAATAGGGCAAGGGAACAAATATCTAAGTCTCACTTATAACCCTAAACTATGTCTGGTTTATATTCTAAAAATCCTTTATGGTTATAGTTTCTTTCTCTAAGCAAACTAATTAAGTGAATATCTTTATCCTACTTGTTTTAACCACTTTTGTTATGAAGTTCAATTATTGTTGAATCTCTCACAACAACATGCTTTTATCTTTTTCTAAGTTGATCATTCAAAGAAACAAATTTATAACATAAAAGCACATAACAAAATAAGACACTAACAACACATCATTTTAACATAAAGGTAATATTATATTAACTTCACATTGCTTAACAAATAAGGGTTTAGCTCATAGTGAGCTTAGTACAAACTATTGAACTGAAACATATAAGAAACATACTTAAACAAAAGATGTATAATAAATGATAACCTATTAGTAACTTGGAGATCTCTTATGATGGATAATCAGCAAGTGAAGACTCCAGTCGCGCCAGCTCTCAGCAATGAGTACAGGAATGGGTGAGAAGAAGAACTCTCTCTTTTCTCACAAAACCTTACACTAAATGATTCTAAGTTACTTCTAAGACTAATGAACTCTTTCTTGGTGAAGGTTCTCTCTTTCTTCAATTCCTAAGGTCAGTTTTTATAGGCACAAGTGTGGATGAAAAAGGATGGAAGGCCTCAGATCATGAGCTTTTAATGTAAACAAGGTTTAGCCCATATTTCAAATCAGCATATTCCACTTTATCCTCCATTCTTCATGAACAAGCAATCAGGTACATAGTGAGAGGCAAAACGTCCGGCACAGGCTGTTGCACCAGGTGGTAGTGTAGGGGTACAGATGACGCTATGTCTTCGTGTAGGGTGCGTGTTGCAGTGGTGGTCCCCATTGTACCATTTATTTTGTCTTCTTGTGTAGTTGATCTTATCCATTTGATTTGATATTTATTTCAAGAACAAATCTGCCATGCAAGCTCTAGATATATGCACACTTCATGCTTTTAGCCATTATTTTCTTATTAACTTCAGCAAACTTTCCATTTTCCTTTCAACTTTCTATTCCAGATTCTGTCTAGACCAGTCATGCCTCAACCTGTCTTAAACTGCCTTGAAATTAAGTAACGAACACATGAGAGCTACAAAAGGAGCACCTATTGTGCTCCAAGCAATATAAGCTAAAACCACTAAAACTTAACAAGCAAACACTAAAATTATCACATAAAACAAAATGAAATTGGATAATAATAACACACTAAAAGTGGATTATCATCTACTATGTCTCAGTCTGCCAACTCTGTCAGCCCTTATGCCCGTAAGGTAATGTAAGACATATCATTAGTGCATGCAAATAACACACACACAAACAAAATTTTAAAAAAAAAACATACTGCATGAAATTCCAAAGATGCATCTCCGGAAACACCGTAAAACAATAACGTTGAACAATTTCGAAAATGCATCTCCGAAAACACCATAAAACTATTAACTTTGAAGGGTTCCGGAGGTGCATCTCCGGAATTTCCCAAAGTATATGAAACACTGAACAATTCCGGAGATGCATCTCTGGAATGTTCTGCAACACAGAGGTCGCGTCAATGGCAAATATACCTCTTACAAGTTGAAAAAAACATGATCTGATCGCCATTTTGAGCAAACAAACAAGTCATACACTAAGTCTAAACTATGTCACATGTGATTCCTACACATTCCTAACCCTAATCATTGATTTCTACACATTTACAATAAAACTCAAATATTTACCGAAAACTCAAAAAACTTACTTGAAATTTATAGTTTTGATGATATTGAATAATGTTATAGATGATACTCGACGTTCCCTTGAAATTTTTGAGTCTTGATAAAAAATTATTTGGTGAAGTTCAAGTGTATTGAGAAAGAAAAGAGTTGAGTTTGAGTAAAAGTGTGAAATGAGAAAGGAGAAGAGTCTGACACAACTTATACTCCAAAATGTTCCGGAAATATATTTCTAAAATATTTCAACGTTCACTAAAATTTGAATGTGTTCAGAAATATATCTCCAAAATCACAGAATAATTGTAGAATTTCAAATGATACGACAAAAATACAGGGTTAAAAAAAACTCATATTTTATAGAAAGAATTGGTTCTAGTAGTTATGAGCATCCTTGTAACGATTATTTATGTGAGATTGACACATGGAACATGTATCATCTATTATCATTTGGTTGTGTGCTCCAGTTGTATTTGTCAATAACATTATGTGAGCTAGCTTTTAGAGAACGATGTGAATCTGAGTTAAGCCTTCCTAATGTAAAAACTGCTCAAACATAAGATAAAATAATAAAAGAATCACTATCTTTGTTACTAAGAAAATCATTAGTTGAATTAATACTAAAATTTCCATTTGTAGACTATTCAATTAGGAATATCATCATTTCTAACAGTTAGAGCTTTCAAATTTGTAATAAAATTAAATATATACTCAGACTTGAGTGGTAAACATATTCCAATTTCATTCTCCGATTGTCACATTATTTTAGTCGGAATACTCGGTTTTCACCCGCAGAAATGCTTTCAAATGAATGAGTGAAATGTTAGAATTTATAAGAGATAACTCATATATATATATATATATATATATATATATATATATATATATATATATATATATATATATATATATATATATATATATATATATATATATATATATATATATATATATATATATATATAATATAATATAAAATCACAGGAATATAATGCACATAATAGAAGATGCAGAACAGTCGGATAAAATTTGTAACAACACATACAAGATGTGTATATCTAGAACAACATAAGTTTATAGGAATGAGTTCAAACAAAAAGAATTTCGTTTTCTTTAACAGTATCAAGGATGATTCCTAGTCTACCTTCAATCCTTTCATTCTTTCTCGGTTCGTACGCCAAAGCATATATATCAGCTTCTTTTGATCGCTCTGCAATAAGCTTTCCAATTAGTCTACAAGCTTCAGGATCTATCAAAGATGGAAGAGAGTTTCGAAGATCCTTGGCGTTTGTGGTAGCACCACATATCACTTTGCTTGTTCCTCGGTGCGTCACTTTTGCATGAACAAATCTCTTTGAAAAGAAAATATCTAATAAAAATGGTCTCATGTACATATCAGTTCTCTGCTTCCATGATTTCCTTTTGGGTCTCTTTTGAGCTTCACCTCGAGATCTTCGAGTCCAAGCAGCTCGAATAAAAGAGCCCTACATATGTTAAATGAATTACTTTTCTTCAATCAAGTCAGCACAAGAGATGCAAGCATTATTTAGAATTTGAACTGTTTTCTACACAGATAGTTTGGATAAACTTTCTCATAGGTGCATATAGAAACCAAAGAATTGAAATAATCTTGCAATACTACAATAACAATAACAAGAAACAATCACTAAGTCTTATCGCACTAAGTGCACTCAGTTATATAGATCAAATTGATCATAATGTTTTATCAAAGACCATGTTTCTATCTAATTCGTGAAACTCAATATCTTTCTTAATGGTTTCTCGTATAGTTTTTTAGGACTTTCTCTACCTCAAATTGTTTGAATTTTCTCCATTTAGTCTACTATCTTTACAACAGAATCTACTACTCTTCTTTCTAGATACCCAAACCAGTTAAACCTATTTCCCACCATCTTTTCAACTGCACGGGTTGCCTCAATACTTTCTCTAATATTGTCAATTCTAATCATATCTCGTCTAGTCATACCACAAATCGTAAAAAAATCAAAGAATATTGTAACTAACAACCTGCGTGATAAGTTAAAACCAACTTCTGCATCGCAATCTACTAGAAACTTATCTTCTTTAAACAACTATAAACTTAAAGTGCACTTGCACGAACTAGAAGCCAAATACTTATTTTCAGTTGAAAAGCTCATATACGCTGGAAGTTTATCCAAATTGGACAATATCAATTATCTTTTTATGTCCTATCATATCTCCTATCTCCAATCAGAAACAGTATCAGAAGGTGCCAATACGGATAATGTTATTCATTGTTTTTATGATGAAAAATAAACTGTGATTAATTCACACTACAACACTGCAATCAGTATCGCAACAATACTGACCAAATTCGCAAAAAACTTTATGCTACCATAACTGTTATTTAAAACCTTGGACCTACCATTCCGGTATCTATAAATTAATCATTATGACAAAAACAAGTTATCCGCTTTTTCAAACAAATTTACCTATTCTATTGGTTGAAATTCAATTGAATCTGGTAAAATTTCAAACTATTAGATACATAATCTCCGCTTGAAAACTGAATTGGAGAAGCAGAAGAGGGAACTTACTTTGGGATTGTTAGGGTTTATGGGAGGGAGAGTGGTTGTTGAGATTGGTAAAGAGGGAAACGAGCGCGAAAACGAAAGCAATGATGAAGACGGAGATGGTCGAAGTTGGCGGTGCTGCAACTTAGGTTGAGAATGAGAACACGGCAAAGATGACGGTGGTGCCCAACTAACACAACTCGTTATCATCTCCTTAGCCGCTTCTTCTCCAGTTACAAATTACTCTTTTGTTTGTGATGATAAAACTTTTTAAAAGCTAGTTAAAATTTTATATGAATTTTTACATTTCAAAATACTTTGAAAGATTTTTATTAATTTTAGGGATGTAAAAGAATTTGTACCGTACTTAAAATCCATCCATTTACAAATTGGATAGTTTAATGAATATTCACCTATAAAATTATAAGATGATTAATTATAAGTTTTCTTATTAGCAACAATATGAAATTGATGATAATTTTAATTAATAATTTAAAAAATTAAAAATTTAATATTTATTTAATTTAAAATTATTATTATTATAATATTAAATATGAAATTATTATTATTATTATTATTTTGTTAATCTAATATAATTATTTGATAAAAAATAAAATAAAACTACTCTTTTTTTGCTTTAAATGAAATAAAAAATTAAATAATTAATTTTTAAAAAGAAAATATTTAAATGATAATATTTATAAATATTCATAAATATTTGTGGTATGTCAAAATTCGCAGATATTCATGTGATGAATATCCGAACATATATAGAGTAAGAATATTATATTTATTAAACATGACAGATTTTTAAAAATTATAAATTTTTTAGTTAAGAAAAGATTATAGATTAGTAATTTATAATATTATGAATTAATAAGTAGTAAATATTTCATAGAATTTAAAATAAATTATGTAACACAATCGTTAATATAATAGACTTTTTTATGTTAAAATTCAGACCCACATATTTAATTAATTATCATTGTCTTCATTTATTTATGGGTTAAATAAGTTTTTGTCTCTTTAAATATAACTAATTTCGTTTTAAGTCTTTCTAAAAATTTCCTTCAAGACACTGTTCTTTTAAAATTTTCCGTCTAAACAATTAGTCTCTACTGTTAAATGCCACTAACGGATGCTTACTTGGTATTGCCACGTTGAATTTTTTGATGATTGGACTTGCACGTAAAGATGCTGATGTGGCATGCCACGTGGCTAAGGCCAACATTATACTTGAATCCATAAAAATTCGTAGTTAAAGTCGTAGCTAATCTATAGCAGATTTTCAACATTGGAAGATTTGAATATTTTTTGAACCTTATTAGGACCCTAACCTTATGATTCTGAATCTGGACTATCTTCTCTATCATTTTTACCACTGTTGTTTCTTATATGATCTCTAGCTCCAACTTCAATAAGACTATTATGAGGTGTATTTGATCGTGTTCTTCCATCAGATGAAAAATTTGATACTCTATCATCAACTTCAGTTGTTCAATTTGTCCATATCTCAAGAATCTGCGTCGATACTATTTCTCGACAAACACCTTGGTTTTTCTCCTCAGCTTTTGCATTAACAACCTAAATTCAATTACTATTAATATATATAAAAACCACCAGTAGTTGTGTCTGAACAAATGCAGCCCATGGCCAGTCCAGGATCAGCATGTGTGCGAGTGTGCACTCAACCTGTGTTGGAATATATAGGACCACAAAGTCCTAACCCACCAACACCTCTAGGAAGTTCAATATACAAGCATTTTCCTCCTCCAGGTTTCTCACAATCATTACCAAGGAACCCATCTTATGGTATGCCTATGTCAATGATGCAAAATCTGCAGAATGCTCCACCCATATTTTCAGAAAGTGTAGTGTCTTTGCCAGTGCAAGGATCTGGATCAGGTGGTCGAAACAACCAAAGCATGGGTATTGGTTATGCTGTTCAAGCACCTAGTCTTACAAATACATCCATAAACTGTTTGAGATAGCAAATGGATGAAAGTAACATGCAAATGGTGCGCACATTGTCTCAGACGATAGGAGAAGTCTTTCAACCTTTAATTCATAATAGTACTCAAACCAATTAACAATTGGCGACATAATTAGCCCGTATGGCTGATTTTATGGGAGTACCAACATTTGATCCAAGAGCAACTGTTGTTGAAAACATTCCACGATATCAGCAACGAAACGTACCTGAGGCGAACATAGAAGACCAGGAGATGGGCGAACCTTTCAGAGTTGAACCACAAAGGACCAGGTACCAGCCCATATGGAGGAAGAACCAGGAATAATCATGGTGAATAGGAATCAAAATGCTGACCAAATACTTATACAAGTTAGATATCAAGATTCAGCAAAAGAAAACAATCTTGCAGCCATGGTCAAAAGAATAATGACCAGAAATGGTGCAAACTTTGGCTTCACAAGGCCAAATTATACTTCACCCATAGTGGATTATATTCTTCAGGCTGAGTTACCTCCTAGGACGAAGATTCCAAAGTTCAGTAAATTTTCAGGAGATACTACTGAATCAACCGTCGAACACGTGGCTAGGTATATGATCGAAGTAGGAGAGATAGCAGGTGACGAAAGCCTTAAGATCAAATACTTGCCAAGCTCTCTTACAAAAAATGCTTTTACGTGGTTTACCACTTTGCCTCCTAATTCAGTTTATAATTGGGCCCAATTAGAACGCTTGTTTCACGAACAGTTCTACATGGGACAAACCAAGATCAATCTGAAAGAATTGGCTAGTATCAAACGTAAAGTCACTGAGCCAATTGATGATTACCTGAATAGGTTTCGACTTCTTAAAGCCATATGCTTTAGACAAGTACTAGAACACGAGTTGGTCAAAATGGTTGATGGGGGTCTTGATTATTCTATTAGGAAGAAGTTGGATACCCAATATCTCATAGATATGGCGCAGCTAGCTGATAGAGTTCGACGCCTAGAAAGGATAAAAGAAGAGAAAGTTAGGTTCAGCAGGGGTAAAAAAGTAGCCTTTGTCGAATATAATGAAGATGTAGAGAATCTATATGATGAAACATCTCATTTCGACGAACATGAGGTTGATGTTGCTGAATTAAAGCAAGGCCCACCTTATGCTTGTAAACTCTTAGCTCCTTCAAATGGTAAAAAAACCCATTGAGTCTAATGAAAAATTTCCTAAAAAAACATATACTTTCGACGTTACTAAATGTGACGAAATATTTGATTTGTTAGTTAAGGATGGGCACATAATAGTGTCTGCTGGTGCTAAAGTACCTCCTTTAAAACAAAGAAAGAAAAGAGGCTTTTGTAAGTACCACAATTTCTTGGGTCATAAAACTTCTCAATGTTTTCTTTTCAGGGATTTGGTGCAAAACGCCTTTCAAGAAGGAAGGTTGAAGTTTGGGGACAAAGGGAAGACTCAAATGAAGATTGACTCTGACCTATTACAAATTGTAGAAGCTAACTATACAGAGCCTGAAGAGGTTCAGATGGTCGAAGCCATTGAAGAGGTTAACTTTCTAGTCAACATGGAGGAAATCACTGAGAACTTCGCCATAAAACTTGAGATGGCCAAGATAACTGAAGGTTGTAACTCAACATCAAACAGTCTAGAAAAAACTGATGATAGTAGTCTGATGCTGGTGACCAAGAAGATTGCTAATAAGTTTGTTCAGATAGATAAAGTTGTTAAGGGATTAGACATGGAAGTAGAAAGGTTGGGAGGAAATGCTACTGAGGGCATTAACATGGTTGAAGTTAGCGAGGAATTTGATGCTAGTGCGGATAGTGTCAGCACCAATGAAGCTATGGGAAGAAATGTTCCCAGGGTCGAAGTCATCAAAGGATTGGAGAACAACATGTTGTTGGTAGGAGAGATGATGGAAATTGATGGCTGCTTGTTAGAGAACTGGATATGCATGGCAGCAGAACAATACTTCAACATATCCTTTGACGTTGAGAGGTTCAATGCTGAAATGGTGGGTGAAGCTGAAGACTCCAAGAATACTGAAAACCTTAAAGCTCACTTTTATAAAATGAAGCTTGAAAATAAGGTTGATGTCAACATGGTCGAGATCACAGATCGAAAGGGTGAAGAGATAGGTAAAGGAGAAAAGCAAGAGGAACATAACGAAGTGGTCTACCCCAAGCAGGAGGAAACCATTGTTGACTTTCTGCATCGTTTCCAAAAGAATAGATCAGGAGTAATGTTTCCTAGGTGTAGTGTCATTTTTGATGAAAAGGCTGCTCATGATCTGGAGGGAATCAGGAAAACCAATGGAAACTGGGGGCAGAAAATGAACCAGAGCCCAAGAAACTTTGATCACAGAAGACCCTCGGCAGGGATAAAAACTCCAGGGAAGCCTAGCACATTCCAGGGAGAAGGCAGAAGAAATGGCAAAATTTCGACGTAGAGAGAGGTTCTTCATTTAAGTATCTAAAGGAAAATCGTAACACTAATAAGTCAACGTACATTTCTCAAAACTACAAAGGTAAAAACACTATGACCAGGTCACAGTGGCGAAGATAATAGCGTAGGCGAAAGGCCATCAGGGAAGCTCAGGTACCAAGACAGGGAGAGTCAAGTACCAATATTGGCAGTCAAGGTGGAAAAGCTGATAAGATGCCTATAAGGTGAAAGTTGTTTGAGGCTTGAAAGTACCAGCCAGCGAAAGAAGTCGAAGATGACGAGAACATGACTGACAACTTCGACAGTGAATCAGCAGCCTCCTTAGACATCATAGTAAATGTCGTAACTGTCATGCCTAGAGAATTTGGTCAGGTCACAGAGATATAAGATTTGTATCAGAATACTGAAATGGAAATGCTGGCACACAAGCCTGTGTGTTATTACATAATGAAAAATGGGTGTGTAGAGGAGAAAAACGCTTTCTTTGAATGCCCTACAGAGGCTATGAAGGGTCACTTGAAGCCTCTTTACATCACTAGAAAAGTGGAGAACGTACCTATCAACAAAATACTAGTGGATTATGGCGCAACTGTAAATTTGATGCCCCGTTTTCTACTAATTAAGATTGGGAAGTGTGACGATGATACCGAGCCCCAAAATATGGTTCTGTCGAACTATGAGGGAAACATTGGCTCCACTTTGGGAGTAATTCAGGTTGATCTTACTGTGGGAACAATCATTATACCCACAGTTTTCATGGTTGTCGAAACTAGAGTAAATTACAACCTGCTCCTGGGAAGAG